GCCCCTGTTTACTGCAGAAATAATAACGCAGGCACTTTTTTTTTCCACTGCAATGCAATGCGGTCTTTGAAACAGCCTACATAGACAATAATTCTTTTTGAAGTGTCTCTGTGTTTTTCTACACTAGGAAACATGTATCACAATGCAAGAAGATGCAAAATTATGAAAGGGTCCTTGTTCTTTTGATTTGTTGGTCAATCTTTGCATCTCCCTCTTGCGATCTTGATCAGTTCTATAGTTTATGTAAATTTTCAACATCATGTCTAAGCAGATTATACTCAAAAGTATCTCTTGGCTCTTATATTATGTCTCATAGTTTTTATTTCTTTAAACTTAACATGGATAAAACAAAACTTTCTTTTATGCACATCAGGTAAAAAAAATATACAATTCAAAGCAGTTGCGTATTCATTACAATTTTTAAAGCGTAGGCAGGGGTGGACTGACCATTTGGAAACTTGTGCACTGCCCGAGGGCCCGGGGTCAGTAGGGGGCCCCATGAGATGCCCCTGGTACCTTTTTCATAGGCTTTTTTGAGTTTGGGCAAGGACACAGGGGCCCCATGATCTCCTATTGCCCGAGAGCCCCATGAGTTGTCAGTCCGTCCCAGGGGCGGACTGACCATTTGGAAACTCGGGCACTGCCCGAGGGCCCGGGGTCAGTAGGGGGCCCCATGAGATGCCCCTGGTACCTTTTTCATAGGCTTTTTTGAGTTTGGGCAAGGACACAGGGGCCCCATGATCTCCTATTGCCCGAGAGCCCCAAGAGTTGTCAGTCCATCCCAGGGGCGGACTGACCATTTGGAAACTCGGGCACTGCCCGAGGGCCCGGGGTCAGTAGGGGGCACCATGAGATGCCCCTGGTATCTTTTTTCATAGGCTTTTTTGAGTTTGGGCAAGGACACAGGGGCCCCATGATCCCCTATTGCCCGGGGGCCCCATGAGTTGTCAGTCCACCCCTGGTCCGTCCCTGAGCGTAGGTTTAGTTACCATTTGTGTTAACCCCAGCAGCACGCACGGGAAGACCATAGCTACAGTGGTGTTTAGGGCTGGGCATGTAGGCAGGTGTAAGTTAGGGTTCCCCTTTATTTAGTGAGCACTCCTGCACTAGGTGGGCTTTTGGGATTTGCCCTCCTCTCTCTCTTTATCTTGGAAGGGAAAGCCTTGTAGCGGAATGATGTTTCTGTGGGCGCGGGAGTAGAGGAGTAGAGGCTTGGGAATTGAGGCTGGTGTGAATTGTACCAGCAGTTGTGGATGAGAGCAGCTAAGTGCAGCTGCTGGCCCTATTTACTTTAATGAAAGATCAGCGGCGGATGCAGCTATTCGCAGCCCTCCTCACACAGCCAGTGATTACCTGTAATGATCGCTGCTGGATGCACACTTTTTATATCATATACATATATTTGATAAAGATTATACTGTGATTTTAGTGATTGGGTTTACATATACTTGAGCTGTATTATTATTATCATTATACAGGATCTATATAGCACCAACAGTTTGCTCAGCGTTTTACAATATAAAGGGAGACAATACAGCAACAATACAGTTCAATACAAGAAGGTTAAGGTAAGCTCCTTGGAGCTTACAATCTAAGAGAATTCTGAATTTGACTATCCTCTTGCAGTCCTCAGTACAGCAGAGCTAAGACTAGGAGAGGGAGAAGCAGCACAAGGAAACAGTCAGTGCTCATGTTCTAACAAGGGGGCATGTTGATAGAAGGAGACAGCAGAGTGACCATCAGTCTGCTGATTCTCCTTCAATGTTGGATAATAGACCGCGAGCAGGAAAAGACCTAACTATATTAGGTGACGCCCAATTATTTATAGATAAATATGTAGAAGTACCAGGTACTTTTGAAAAAGTAAGAAATCAAATGAAATATCTTGCTGAGCAAAATAAATGTGAACTCCTTTCACCTTATGTATGAACAAGGCTCTGAAAGTAGAAAAAAAATCTAATTTCTTTATGAATATTAATACTTTAACATACATGTTTGTACCAATCATCAATAACCGCTTTTAGTTTTTTTTCTTTAAGACTGTCTCTGTCCTGGTATGTGTCAGAACAGAAAGTGTGGGGGAGGGGTGATTCTCCCAAACTGGGAAACAGACAGTAATGTACCACTGATAAAAGTTCTAACCTTTTCCCTTCTATCCAGATCAAAAACTTTGGTGTGATGTTAGATTCTAAACAACTCCTGGAATTTTTTTTTCCCCATGCAGTGGGGCTATGTCCGCACTGCATGGGTTAACTGCTTGTTTTGTCTAGGAGATTGAAGAGCTGAGATGTACTTGCCTAATCCTCTCAGCGCAAGACCAGTCCCTGACGTTCCTGCCCCTCCCCCTCCCCCCGCGGTCTAGCAGACTTGTGCGGTAGACCGTTCCTGATGTCATCACGCCTATAGACTGGCTCTAGATGTGAGCATGGTAGGAACAGTCCACTGCTGAACGTGGGGGAGCTCTATTTTCTAGAGGATTGAAAGATTGGGTGATTATAGGGTCAAAACAAGCTACTCCTAGTCAAAACAAGCAGTTAACCTCCCTGGCGGTATTCCCGAGTGTAGCTCGGGGTAAAGTTTCAGCACCACAAGCGGTAACCCCGAGCTACACTAGGGAATACCTTGCAGCGCTGCTCCGGGATCTCTTCTTCACTTACCTTGTCCTGCGATGTCCCTCCTGCAGTGTCCCCGGCAATGTCCTCCGGCGAATGCCAGCATCTGTCTTCTGGGTTCTGTTCCCTGCGACGTCGGGACGTACGGGGGACGGAACTGGTGGGAAATTTGAAAGTTGTAAAAGTGACATTCACTAAATTCACTAAAATCACATAGTAAAACATTACTGTATCAAACCATTTCACATACATTTTGTCCCGAGTGCTTTGTCCTGTGCCCTGCCTACATTTTTACTGTTCTTTCTGCCTGGAAACTGAGAAATGTCCATGGCGTCCAAAAAGCGTCCCTTTAGGTCAAAAGCGGTTTTAGACCAGCTAGAGAACAGCGATAGTAAATCAGAACCACTTGCAGAATTGAGTGAATGATTCGTGGGGAAATTCGTCATCAGACACTGAAAACGATTTTGCAACTTTGCTCAGTGATGTGCGAACTTGGCACTATATTTCAAATTTCAGTGTTTTTGGCTTGATTATATTATTTAATTAAATTTATTATTATTTTTTATGATTATTTCTTAAAATATAATTTATGATTTTGTGTTTAAAATTTTAACATACCCAGGATGTTTACTAGACTCTTGTTCGAACAGATTTCAGTGAGTTATTCCTAAAAAATACATATTTCCATGCAAAAAATGTACCGCTTTGAGCACAGAAATATGGACATAATCAGACTGCTAGAGAGGCTACTCCATGCAGTGGGTCTGTGAAAAAAACATTTCCTGGAGTTCTGCTTTAGGTTTATTCTAAGGTTTCTCCCATTATCCTTCACCTGAGGACTGAGCTGTACCCCCCTAAACGTCATCTGAATAGTAAAGTATGTCCTCACTAAAGCAGAGTATTAAAATGCAGCCACAAAAATTTCACCTGACCATTAAAGCATACTCCCTAAAATTTTACCTGAACGCTATGGTATGTTTCCTTAAACTTCACCTGAATACTATGGTATACCCCCTAAAATTTACCAATGAGTAACAAGGTGTAGGGATCTGGTGCCCTCTACTGTTAGCTGCTAATATCACAGTGTTATGTATAATTATGTATTAAGGCTTCCTGTCTCTGGGAGGGGATTTGAAAACCCCAGAAGCAGGAAGTGGAGAGAGACAGAAAACTGAGACACATGGCGTTGTACACACAGGGGCTGCTACTGCTGCTGTATTTTCACCCAGATCAGAAACAAAGACCATTATGCAAGTATTCCTATATTATAATAGTTTACAGCTGTCCATAGCTTCTTGTGTTTAAATCTACAAACACTTCTCAACTAGGAGGTTTTTCCGCTACCCAAACCACAAATGTAAATGAGCCCTTACTGTCCTGAGCCCTCTATAAGTTTGCTTTCACACTGATGTGCTGAGGTTTATCCATACCGCGGGTGCAGCACAGTGCACTTGCAGCTTTCCTATGGGTTAGCTTGCGCTTTGCCATAGACTTCTATTATATCTTGCCAGGTGTGGTGCACTTTCTGAAAGCGCACCAAGACTCCTGCATTGAGGGTTTGGTGCACTTTCAGAAATTGCACCAAACCGGATATAATAGACGTTTATGGCTCAGTGCAGCTAACCAGCAGGAAACCCACAGAGGCACTGCACTACACCCGTGGATCAGTGTGAAAGCAGCCTGATAGTTAACCATTTTATAGGTGCTAATATGCCAATTGCAAAAGAACAGTGTATGTGTTGTTTAATACGCTGACCTTTTTTTCCTCTTCCAGCTTCTGCTGACATTGCTCTCCAGGCTGCTAGAAAGGTTTCAGAAGAAAGTGCTCTTGGTATCACTCCACCTGGAACAGGAGCCAGTGCAGAGTAAGCATTGACTTATGCAACTCCTGCTCTCTCCTTAGCTACCTGCTTCCTCCACTGCTGGCTCGATGCACTCTGATGCTCTAGGATGGCAGGTCGGAAAGCCCAATTGTGATCAATGGGTTGCTGGCCCTGTGTATGGGCTTCCTGGTTTGAGGTTGAAGGCAACATCAGAGGGCTCCGGGGGCAACATATGGCCCGTGTGCCACAGATTGAACACCCCTGGAGTAGACTCTGAATTCCAGTGCCACATCAAATTTCCTGCCGGTGAAAAGCTGTGTTCCAAGCTGATTGGACAACAGTTTGAGGATCTCCCCATTATCCGTGATCCTGTCTTCAGATCTCCAACACAAAGACAAATGCAGCATTGTAATCATCCTTGGGTATCCTGCAACTGGGCTTTGCTGCAACAATCAACTGGAGGTATTTGTATTAATAACTGTATATACACAGGTATATGTGCAAATTTCCACCAGGACTCTTTTTAGGCCCTGATAATACATGTTTGCAGGGGCGGACTGACAACTCATGGGGCCCCCGGGCAATAGGGGATCATGGGGCCCCTGTGTCCTTGCCCAAACTCAAAAAAGCCTATGAAAAAGATAACAGGGGCATCTCATGGAGCCCCCTACTGACCCCGGGCCCTTGGGCAGTGCCCGAGATTCCAAATGGTCAGTCCACCCCTGCATGTTTGTACTTTAGATGTATGTACTATTATCAAACTTTTCTTATATAAAGCTTGTATTATTTCCATACTGCTGTTTGGTCTTCACCATAGTGGAGTTTGGAGTGTGACTATTTGAGGTTGTGGACAGGTGTCTTTTATACTGATAACAAGTTCAAACAGGTGCCATTGATACAGGTAATGAGTGCAGGACAGAGGAGCCTCTTAAAGAAGAAGGTACAGGTCTGTGAGAGCCAGAAATCTTGCTTGTTTGTAGGTGACCAAATACTTATTTTCCACCATAATTTGCAAATAAATTCTTTCCAATTCAGCCAATGTGATTGTCTGGATTTTTTTTCTCATTTTGTCTCTCATAGTTGAGGTCTACCTATGATGCCAATTACAGGCCTCTCTCATCTTTTTAAGTGGGAGAACTTGCACAATTGGTGGCTGACTAAATATTTTTTTGCCCCACTGTACTTATGGTTAATATTATATGCTAGTTGCAGTAGTTCCATCGCTTCCAATTACTCTGATTAGATTACTGGTTAACTTCCCAGGAAGGGAATCCCCTCTGTTCATAGAGGAACTGTCCTGGGTGGAGGCACTGCCAACTTTATTATCAAACCCACTCTTCCACTTACCAATTATGGTTCTCTTATTTAACTACAAGTTTAGTGCAATATCCTGCTTGGGGAGGGCCATTTGTAATAACCCCCCAAAAGAGGGCTAAAAGGGTATAACCCCTAAAACATCTCCCGAGTACTATGCTCCCTACAACTTCACCTCAGCACTTAGGTATGCCCCTGAAACATGACCTAAGCACTAAAGTATGCCCCCTAAAACTTCACATGAATACTAGATTGCTTAGGCCTGCCCCCCTAAGACATTACATAAGTGCTAAAGTATGCCCTCTAAACCTTCATCAGAGCATTAAGGTGTGCCCCCTAAAACTTCACCTGTGCATCAAGGTTGCCCCATAAAGCTTAAGCATTATGGTACAACTTCTAAAACTTCATCTGAGTTCTAAGATATGACCTTTTAAAACTTCAACTGAACACTAAAAAATGCTTCCCAAAGCTTCACTTTAGCACAAATGTACTGTGTAGGCTCTTAAACTTCCCATGAAGACTAGGAATGAATGCAAAGATCACTGGCTGCCTTAAGACCAAAAAAAAGTAACTTTTACTCGCTATGTCATCTGCCTAGACTAAATGAGCATTAGGACCCAAACATATGGTTATATGTTACTCTAACTCTGGTCATATGTTACTCTATGGTCATATGTTACTCTACTCTATGTAACTCTAAAGAAAACCTGTCAAAAGACATACAAGGATGGTCACCTCCTTCTGAAAATACTATTTTATTATTTACAGGTATTACCCTAACTGTCTTTAGTACTTTTTGAGTAGCCTAACCTGAATAGGTATGCAACTTGGGAAAGTCAGAGGTCCTTTATCTTTACTTGTTCTACCTTACTGACTGAAACTATTGAAACAAATGGCTTAGCAGCCAGGCAAATATCATCTTCTGGCAAGGTCAATAGTTGCTGCCTCCACATTTCTCACATAACAGGTAAACAGCTTTGAGAACTGACTGCACCCATTTGGTCACCTATTCTGTGCTTGAAAGGAAACCTAGACTGAGAATTTTTGTGAAGACTGCTACTTCTAAAAATGTTAACTGTCTATTGATCATGAAGCCAATGGTTTCAGTAGTTTTTGACCCAGAAGAATCGCGATTAAGAGTTCTGTCTTTTCTCTGACCTAATTTACAGCAAACGTACTTCAGGCAGCCAGGTAAGTAACATTTTACAGGGAAAATCAGAAATGGCAGAAAACATGCTTTCTCAGCACAAGTTTCTTTGAGTAGCTGCTTATTCACTGCCAGGTAGGATAATAGGTTCCAAAGGGATACATCCAAGAGACACTGGGACTTCAATGCTTATTCAGACAAAGCAGTAAATGGAAAAAAGACAGTCATTCAGGGAGCTCCCTGGTTCTGGTAAATCAGCTCTCATACAAACAGGGCTATCCTCCAATGGGTGCAAAGGCACAGCACTCAGAGCATAAATCAACAAAATTAGATCTAGATCAAATTCATAAAGAAGTCAAAAACAGCTTTAATACTTCACAGAATACCCAAACTTTTTTGACGACAAAACATGCTCCCCCTTCATTAAGAGTCAGTGGTGTTTGCGAAACAGCTGGTTTGTTGCAGCCATTTCACTGGCATAATTCTGGCCCAAGCAATCAAGCTGCATGATTAATATGTATCTGAAATCTGCTTGCCTCAATCAATTTAAACATTTACAAACCATAAAGAAGAGGAGCAAGTTTACTAGCGAAACGCGTTAGTGGTGTGAAGTATTAAAGCTGTTTGAACTCTATTATGAGTTTAGTCTGGTGCTCTGTCAGTTGAAATATACTCTGAAATATAATAAAAAGGATGTGGCAAGCATTTTTTCTATTCTTATAGAATTGGCATTATCACAGCTATTTTCTAATGCTTTTTGCATTGCTCACAATTCTGAGAAAGCTGTACTGAAAAAATCGATGTACTGATGTTGGCTTCCATAGCTGACCTTTTTTTGAAACTACTAATGCCCTAGCTATCCCTGGCATCACAAACCTGGATCAGGTATGCAGCAAATCAGATCAGAGTGAAGCTGAAACTGGTTAAAAAAAGTCCAGAGGTGGGGAATCCTGCTGGAGAAAGGCTGGTGTGGAGAAAACCTGATAGAGAAAGCTGGTTTGAGAAATCCTGGAAAAGTAAGGCTGTCATACAGGAACCCTGGTGGGAAAGGCCCATATGATTCTGGTTAGCCTCCTTTTGTTGTACACCAAGGTGCTGTGTGGTTCATCATTAAGAAGTTATGGTGGCGTTTGGTATCCACATCTGTCATTTCCTTCATAATCAAAGAACCACTGAATTCACAGTTTTTAGCTTCACATTTGGATTCCTTTATTTTTTCAATTTGTGGTGACGCATAAGAGTTTGATATATTTGAATTGCACTATTGTATTGCACATACAGTACATTTTAATTTATCTTAGCGCTACACTATTGTTTTGTGCTTGGTGGAGAACAGCTGGTGTGCAGAAAGCCTGGTGTAGAAAGGCTGATATGAAGGAAGCCTGTTAGAAAAAGGCTGGTATAGAGGAACCAAGGTAGAGATAGACTGGTATGGAGTAATCCTGGTATAGAAAGGCTGAGTAATGAGTAAACCCTGGTAGAGAAAGGCTGGTATGGATGAACCCTGGTGAAGAAAAGCTAGTTTGGAAGAACCCTGGTAGGGAAGAGCTACAGTGGAGGAACTCTGGTGGAGAAAGGCTGGCATGTATATGAACATTAGGAAAGAAAGGCTGATGTGAAGGAAACCTAGTACAGAAAGTTTGGTATGCAGCAACACTGGTAAAGAAAGGCTGGTATATAGGAATCCCGGTAGAGAACGGTTGGTGTGAAAGAACAATGGTAGGGAAAGGTTGGTGTAAAGGAACACTGGTAGAGAAAGGCTGGTATGGAGGAACTCTGATAGGGAAAGGCTGCTGTGGAGGAACCCCAATAAAGAAAAGCTCATATTGAGGAACCCTGATATGGAAAGGCTGGTGTGGAGGAACCCGATAAAGAAAAGCTGGTGTGGAGGAACCCTGGTAGAGAAAGGCTGGTGTAGAGGAACTCTGGTAAAGAAAGGTTGGTGTGGAGGAACCCTGGTAGAGAAAGGATGGTATGGAGAAACCCTGGTAGAGAAGGGCTGGTATGGAGAAACCCTGGTAAAGAAAGGCTGGTATGGAGAAACCCTGTTAGGGAAAAGCTGGTGTGGAGGAACCCTGGTAAAGAAAAGCTGGTGTGGAGAAGCCCTGGTGGGGAAAGGTTGGTTGGTATGAGGCAACCCCAGTAGAGAAAGGCTGGTGTGGAGGAACCCTGGAAGAGAAAGGCTGGTATGAAGGAACCCTGGTGAGGAAAGGCTGCTCTGGAGCAACCCTGGTAGAGAAAGGCTGGTGTGGAGGAATCCTGGTAGAGAAAGGCTGGTGTGGAAGAGTCTTATAGAGAAATGCTGGTATGGAGGAGCCGTGGTAGAGAAAGGCTGGTATGGGGAACCCTGGTAAAGAAAGGCTGGTGTGGGGGAACCATGGTAGAGAAAGTTGTATTGGAGAACCCTGGTAAAGAAAGGCCTGTGTGGAGTGGAGAAACATTGGTAGAGAAGGGCTAGTGTGGAGGAACCGTGGTACAGAAAGGCTGGTGTGGAGGAACCCTGGTAGAAAAAGGCTGTTGTGGAGAAACCATGGCAAATAAAGTCTGGTAAGGAGAAACCCTGGTATAGAATGGCTGGTGTAGAAAAGCCCTGGAAGGCAATGGCTGGTATGAGGTAACCCTAGTAGAGAAGGGAGAAACCCTGCAGAGAAAGGCTGGTGTGGAGGGACCCTGGTAGAGAAAGGCTGGTGTGGAGGGACCCTGGTAGAGAAAGGCTGGTATGGGGAACCCTAGTAAAGAAAGGCTGGTGTGGAGGAACATTGGTAAAGAAAGGCTGGTGTGGGGGAACCATGGTAGAGAAAGGCTGGTATTGGGTAACTCTGGTAAAGAAAGGCCTGTGTGGAGAAACATTGGTAGAGAAGGGCTGATGTGGAGGAACCCTAGTAGAGAAAGACTGGTGTGGAGGAACCCTAGTAGAGAAAGGCTGGTGTGGAGGAACCCTGGTAGAGAAAAGGTTGGTATGGGAGAACCCTGGTAAAGAAAGGCTGGTGTGGAAGAACATTGGTAGAGAAAGGCTAGTGTGGAGGAACCTTGGTGGGGAAAGGTTGGTATGGGGGATCCCTGGTGGGGAAAGGCTGGCGTGGAGGAACATTGGTAGAGAAAGACTGTTATGGAGGAATCCTAGTAAGAAAAGGCTAATATGGATGAACATTGGTAGAGAAAGGCTGGTGTGGAGGAATCCTGGTAGAGAAAGGCTGGTGTGGGAGAAAACATGGTAGAGAAAGGGTGGTATGGATAAACCTTGGTACAGAAAGACTGGTATGGAAGAGCTTTATAGAGAAATGCTGGT